AAATTAATCATCTTTTAACTAATAGGCTTTTTTTAAGCAGTTTTAGGTTCACAGAAAAATTGAGTAGAAAGTATAGAGAGTTCCCATATACCTCCTTACCACATCCCATCTTCCCCTATTATTAATATCTTGCATTAGTGCGGTACATGTGTTAACAACCGATGAGCTAATATTGATACATTATGTTTAACTAACGTCCATAGTTTACATTAGGGTTCACTCTTGCACATTCTGTGGGTTTTGACAAATGTATAGTGACATGTATCCACCACTGGAGTATCAAACAGAATAGTTTCACTGCCCTAAAATTCCATTTTTCATCTATTCACTCCTCCCTCTCTCTCCTTCAACCCCTGGCAACCGTTAATCTTTTTACCATCTCCATAATTTTGTCTTTTGGAGAATGTCTTATAGTTGGAATCATACAGCCTTTTCAAATTATTTTCCTTCATTTAGAAATATGTACTTAAGATTCCTCCATGATTTTTGTGGCTTAATAGCTCATTTCTTCTTTAGCACTGGGTAATATGCCATTATATGGATGTACCGCCAACTTATTGATCCATTCACTTACTGAAAGCCATCTTGGCTGCTTCCAAGTTTTGGCAATTATGAATAAAGCTGCTATAAACATCTTTGTGTAGGTTTTTGTGTGGACAGTTTTCAACTCATTTGGGCAAATACCAAGGAGTGTGATTACTGAATGGTATAAGATTATGTGTAGTTTTCTAAGAAACTGCCCAACTGTCTTCCAAAGTAGCTGTACCACCAGCAGTGAATGAGAGTTCCTGTTGCTCCACATCCTCTCCAACATTTGGTGCTGTCAGTATTAGGGATTTTTTCCATTCTAAGAGGTATATAGTAGTATCTCATTGTTGTTTTAATTTGAAATTCCATAATAACATAGGATGTTGGACATCTTTTTATATGCATCTATTTTATCTTCTTTGGTGAGGTATTTGCTCAGACCTTTTAACCATTTTTTAATAATGTCATTCGTTTTCTTATTGTTGGGTTCTAAGGGTTCTTGCATATTTTAGGTAAAAATCCTTTAGCAGATGTGTCTTTGGTAAATATTTTCTACTAGTCTGTGGCTTATCTTTTCATTCTCTTGACAGTGTCTTTCACAGGACAGAAGTTTTTAATTTTAATGAAGTCCAGCTTGTTGGGTTTTTCTTTCATGGGTCATGCCTTTGGTGTTGTACCTAAAATGTCACTGCCATATCCAAGATCTCTATGTTTCCTAATATGCTATCTTCTAAGAGCTTTATAGTTTTGCATTTTACATTTAGGCTTATGATTCACTATAAGTTCAATTTTGTAAAGAGTATAAATCTGTGTCTACATTTATTTATTTGGTTATTTATTTGCATTTGGATGTCCAGTTATTCCAGCACAATTTATTTTTTAAAACTATCTTTTCTTCATTTATTTTCTTTGCTCCTTTGTCAAAGATCAGTTGACTATATTTGTGTGGTTCTATTTCTGAGGGCTATTCTGTTTTGTTGATGTATTTGTCTATTCTTTCACCAATATCACACTGTTTTGATTATTGTGGCTTTATAGTAAGTCTTTAAGTCAGGTAGTATCAATCCTCTGATGTTGTTCTTCTCCTTCAATATTTATTTGGCTGTTCTGGGTCTTTTGCCTCTCCACATAAACTTTAGAGTTAGTTTTTTTGTATTCCTGAAATAACTTGCTGGGATTTTGATGGGATTGCTTTGAATACAGATCAAGTTGGGAAGAACTGACATCTTGATAATATTGAGTCTTCCTCTCCATGAACATGAAATGTCTCTCCATTTATTTAGGTCTTTGATTTCTTTCATCAGAGTTTTGTAGTTTTCCTCATATAAATCTTTTACATATTTTGTTAGATTAATGCCTAAGTATTTCATTTTGGGGATGCTAGTGTAAATGGTATTATGTTTTTAATCCCACTTTATTGCTGGTACATAGGAATGTGATTAACTTTGTACATTAATCTTATATCCTATGACCTTGCTGTAATCACTTACTAGTTCCAGGATTTTTTGTTGTTCTTTCAGATCTTCTACATAGATGATCATGTCATCTGTGAACAGGTTTTAGTTCTGCCTTCCTAGTCTGCATACTTTTTATTTCCTTTTCTTGTCTCATTGCTTTAGCTAGGGCTTCCAGTGCAATATAAAACAGGAGTGATGAGAGGCAACATCCTTGCCTTGTTCTTGATCTTAGTGGGAAAGCTTTGAGTTTTTTACCATAAAGTATGTTGTTAGCTGCAGGGTTTTTGTAGATACCCTTTATCAAAGTTCTAGGAACAGAGAATGTGAGCCAAATTCAAGCCCTTAAAGGACCTTTTCCACAGGTTTAAAACTCAGATGCCTTCAGGGACAGGGAGGAAACAGAAATAAAAGAAGCAGTGGGAATATAACAGTAGGGAATAGTAGGACAAACTGGAACAGACATGTGGCACCTAAGTAAAATTGTGTGTGTGTGTGTATATATATATACACACACACACACACACACACACACACACACACACACACAAACACACACACACACAATATGACTGACAGTCAGATATGGCCTGTGGTGACTCATATTTGTACTTGTACTCACAAGAAAAGAATACGTAGGTAAAGTTTTTGTACCTGGTAAGAAAGAAAGAGACAGCGATGGCCAGGATCACAAGAGATCAGAAGGCAGAGGGCACAGGATCACTGGGTGGAGGTATCAGTGACAGTTTTTCACAGTTTGTGGGGCTGATTAGAACTCAGCTTTAATGGGGAGGAAGGAATTGGAGAAGCTGCCATGAAATTGGCCTCTTCCTTAGATTGGAAGCTTGAGGCAGGTCTTTGGTCTCCCTCTTCTCTGTACCTAGTATATAGTAAGTGCTCAATAAGCAGTGAGTAAACTCCTGATGAGATGAATGACTGATGGACTGAGAGATTTCTATCAGGAATGATTAGGGAAAGTTTAAACACATCCCCAAGAGCTCTTGGAGAGACAATCTGGTGTCATGGTAACTGACTGGCCTGAATTTGAATCCCACCTCATCTTGGCTTCTTGCTTTACTTGCTATGTGACATAGGACAAGAAATTACCCTCTCTGAGCCTTAGGTTTCTTCATATTTGAAGAACATGCCTGCTTCATGTTGGTTTCAAGGACCAGAGAGAGTAACTATGAATTGAATCTTCCCTTCCTCCTTCCGGGTTCCATGAAAAAATAATATCAGATCCCAACTCCCACCTCTACTTTCTCTTCCAGAGAAAAAAATGCCAATCAAAATATCTTACTCCCAATATAAGGGAGACCTGACAGAGGACAAGAAGATCCTGTTGGCTGCCATGTGCATTGTCATCAAAGGAGAGAAGCTCCTGGTAGAGAAGGACATCACTCTGGAGGACTTCATTGCCATCAAGGTGACTTCTATTTGCATCCTCTACCCTGTTCCTAGCAGCCCTTCTTCAGAGCTGAGGAAGGGAATCAAAACCTGAAGATTTTGTGCTTTTAGTTCTAGTTTCAACTTTCAAGGGTGGACAGAAGTGGTGTGGATGCGGGAGATTGATATAATGATGGAGTTCAATAACGGGGTATATGGAAGCAAGGGGTAGACATGATTTTACCCCATCTTCTGACCCAGCCAGGACCATGGGTTTCCTGAGGGAATGGGGAAGAGAAAGGATGATTTCTGGGTATTGCCCCTCCAGGTGCTGGGCCCAGCCATGGTGGGGGTGGCAGTTACGGTGGAAGTGATGGTGGTCAACCCACTCTTGGAGAGAGTGGAGAACTGTATGCTGATGGTAGAGGGCAGTGGTCTTCTCCAAGGACAGCTCAGCATCAAGTAAGTGCCAGCCTGGGGATGGGAGTGGGGGACAGGGTCTGCCTTCCTTATAAAATGGACCGCAGAAATGCTGCTGGTGGGTGAGGGGTGTAGGAGAGATTCTGGACCCCCAGGAACCAGCCCATTGCCTAGATACATCAGCCTTCATTTATTTAGCATAAGGTATGTTCAAGACACATAGAGAATAGCCTGGCTGGTTGGAAAGAGTGAAAAGTGGTGGAAGCGAATATTAAACTGGAAGCATATTGACAAGGCTTGAATGTCAAGCCACAAGGTGTGACCTTGATCCCAAGGGCTCTGGAGAACCATGGACTGGCAGGTCAGGCTCAGAAATGAGAGAAAACTGATGGTCTACCTTTCTCTTTTCCCCTTTCCCCAGGGTTCCCAGCCTAGAGCCCCAACAGAGTGCCTTGGTCCAGTTCAACATCACCCCTTCTAAGAGTGGCCCAAGGCAGCTGCAGGTGGACCTTGTCAGCCCCCACTTCTCGGACATCAAGGGCTTTGTGATCATCCACGTGGCCACAGCCAAGTGATGGACCACCAGGGGCTGAGAGGGGAGGAAATGGCTCCCGTTCCCCTCCTGTCCACCTCTTTGCCCCTCCCATGTGGGAGCCAGGAGACCTGGGTTCCAGCCTCTGCCTCACGCTGTTAACTTGGACAAGTTCATTCCCCTCTTGGGCCTTGTTTTTCTCATCTGTAAAATGAGGTGTTAGACTTAGTAATCCTTAAACTTTTGGACAATGATGGATGATGTAGGGAACCTCTACCACCTTCATCTTATCACCATCATTACTGGGAGGATGACGGACCGAGCATTTTTTTAGAGTAACCCCAGCCCACCCGGCACTGCCACCACCTTCCAGACAGATCACTGTCACCCTGGCTGACCCCTGGGCTCTCCTTGCTTCTCTCTCAGCTCTTCAATGCTCTGACCACATCCAGACCCAAGAATCTCCTCCCAGCTCTAACAGAGAACCCAAAAGTTTTAAAGCTGAAACCTCAACATTCCTCAACACTCCCATTTTACATAGAGGAGAGAACCTTGCCACATGGCTACAGGAGCTAGAGGTAGAGTTGGGGCCCATGTGCATGCCATTTACACCATCTAAGTTTTATCCCAAAGTCATGTTCCTGAAAGTCATTAGATTTGAAGAGATGGGAGATTTTCCCTCATTGAAGACACAGGCCCAGCATCTGAGGGGCTATTGCTACCTGGAAGAAGCTGAAGACAGAGAAGGAGCCATCAAGACTGGATTGCATTTGGTGATGCAGCCCCAGATCTGATCTAGCTATGGTCATCAGGGATCTCATACGACCAACACAGTGCTGATTTACTTCTTTGGAACCAGAACAGTGTTGACTTTGCAGAACATCCCCAGCAGTTTACACTACACACAATCACATTCTTAGCATCAAACAGGACAGAGACCTCTGGGATGAGGACCAGAGTGGAAACCACCAGGCCCTGAAGATAACTGCACCAGATATGGAAATCAGCTCCAAAATATTCTAGACAGCCAAAGGAATTATAACAAATAATATAATTGAGGAAAAGAGTGAAGGAATAAAATGGAGTCACAATGGTCAAGCTACTAAATTATTAAATGTAAGTAAAGGCCAGATGAGTGGCTCAGTTGGTTAAGAGCTCGCTCAAGAGTGCAAGATCTGAGCAACTAGCAGTTCGATTCCCGGCCCAAGCTGAGCTGCCACTGACCTGCCGCTGAGCTGCCAACAGATGGCAGGATGGCTCAGCTAAATAAATAAATAAAAATAAATAAATGTAAGTAGACTGAGGCATGAGGAAATGATTCTATTCTTGTTTTAACTGACTCTGGGAACTTAAACTTCTGAACTTTCCAGGCCTGCTTCAGTACCCAGATGTACATCGGGTCATTATGCATCGATGCCTAAATATACATCAAACCCTCAGATGACCACCTGAGTGACCTCAAGAAGAAATTGTTTCACTGTCCAGATCACCAGACATCTGAAGATTACCATCTCAGACCAATGCAGAGGCTGAGAATACAGGACTGATTCTTCTCAAAAATGTACTCTTTACTATAAGAACCCTCAGCTTTTCTTTCTCCTTTGGGGTACTCTGGGTATTACCTGGTTGTGTTTCCTAGTTTGTAAACCCTAAGACCCTTGAATAAATCTTTGTTATTTTATTTCTAGTCAAAGCCTCCTGACTCTTTTTGAGTATGTTGACATAATCTAAGCACTATGAACAACAACAACAAATCATGCTCATCTGCAGTGAGACACCTCTTGGATGCAAACTCTAATGGGAAGAATTTATGCAGTGGGTCTTTGCAAAAAGGGAGTCGGGCAAACACATGGACAGTGTTTGTTGGATGAGCCTTGTGATGGCCTCAGTGACAGCATTTCTCTGATGATTCTGCACAGCACAGGGATGGCTTGTAGAGCCCAGATAGTGAATGCATTTAATGAGCCAGGCCTTTGGGCTGCTTTGGCTCCAGGACCCCCTTTCCAAACCTAGGTTTTAGATACAGCTGGAGGTTCAGAGCAGGCAGCCAATTCCTCAGGGTTGAACAGCAGGAAGGGGCACAGAGGGCTGGAGACAACAGGAGGTGATCTCCCACTCTTAGTACAGAGGACAGTCTCTTCAGCAGGGAGACCAGAAAGCGATGGGCTCCCATTGTGGTGACCCCAGATACCTCATTTTTCCAGCAAATATCATCTTCCTGTCTTCCTCAGGCTTGGCTGTTGCAGGTTCAGCTTCCCAGGAAGCTGGATCTGAGATGTTTAGGGTTCAGGATGTTGGTTGAGGAGAGGCCTGGGCATCAACCTCCGTGAAAGAGAAGGGGAGAAAGAAAGAGGGGCAGAGGGATAGCCTGGGACCACCTCACAAGCATCTCTGGAGCTAGAATGGCCCGTGTGTGTGTGTGTGTGTGTGTGTGTGTGTGTGTGTTGGGGGAAGGAAAAGTAGCTGAAGGTGATGAGGGCCACCTGCCAGGTAAATCTATCTCCAGTTCAACCCCCTTGCTTTTAGCATCTGTCAGCTGAGCTGAGATAGCACGTCGCTGGGACAAAATTGGCCCCACATGTTCTTCCAGCCCCAGCTGAAAGCAGAGGCCACCCCACAGTCAATGAGAGAACCCTGGTTGAGGGTGGGAGAGGTGGAAATATTGAGAGAAGAAAGCCCAAAGCAGAGTGTGGATGGAAATGAGGCTTTCGAAGGTGCAAAGAAGAATGTGCAGGTAGGGATTTCCTTTCAATTGTTAGGGCAACACCCTGATGATGCTTTTCAGAGAGGAAGGGCAGAAGAAATTGTTCAAGACTGAGCAAGGATGCCAGCAACAGGACTCTACTGAGGCTCAGGTCTCCCACTGCTGGAGTACACTTGGTTTCAGACACTGACCTTCACAGAGGCTCTCAACACTGAGTTAGGTCAGTCATCTGAGCTTTCACAACTCCAGAGGGGCTTCCAAGCCTTTAGAACTGGGGTTGGCAAACTTTTAGTGTTGAGGACAAAATAGTAAATATTTTAGGCTTGCCGGCCATATGCTCTCTGTTCCAAACACAATACATAAGCAAATGAGCATGGATGTGTTGCAATAAAATTGTATTTACTAAACAAGGTGACAGGCTAGGTTTGGCTAGGGCTGTGGTTTGCTGACCCTGCTGCAGAACAATGTGCTGCTGACTCTGCTGCTTGCTCTAGGACTAAGTTCTGATGCCAGGCTGTACCACAGCCTAAGATAAAGCCCAGCCCTGGGCTGAGGCCAAGCTCTGAACAGGCCCTGCATGAAAACTCAGGTGAGGTTCCAGCTTGTACCCGTGACCCCAGAGAGAGCCGTGACTCAGAGCCATGATGGGCCAGGCTGGCCTGATGCTAGAATGAGCCCTAAACCCTGGCTTCATACTAAGTTCTGGCTTCTACCACAGCTAAGTCATGATTTGATTCTGGCCCTAGACCAAGCTTTGACTCCACACTGGGCCCTGGTCCAGCCCCAGACACTCTCGACCTCAGACTGAACCCTAATCCCAATCTCAGACTAAGTCCTGACCACAGACTGAGTCCTCATTCTGGCCTCAGGCTAAGTTCTGAACCAAGGCTGAGCTCTAATCCTGATCTTTGAGGCCTAAACCCAGGCTGAGCCCTAATCTCAAACAGAACCTGATCCTGAACTGGGTGGGCTCTGACCCCACACTGAGCCCTGACTTCAATCACACCCTAGCCAGATCGAGCTCTAGGCCTTGGCTTTGCCTTTCTCATCCGCATCTGGGCTTCTCAAATGGGGGCCCACACACCACTCTGGTGTACTTGATGTCGCTGGGTAAACATGACCTGTCTTCCTAGACCAGGGGTTTGAGCTCACCTTCCTTTCTCTTTGAGGTACTTGGACAGAAATATTTGAGAAGTTTGGTGAACTCCTGAATCCTTTAGCTCTGTCATGCTGTGAGAGTCTGCATTCACAGCCCAGTTCTCCAGGAGTAAATATTTTTTAAAAGCCTGAATCTGACCGGGGCCCTCTCCTGCACTCATGTGTGTTCATTTCTCCTCTTCTACATTTGCCAAGAGCAAAAGAAACTCTGCTATGCACCTGCCACCAGAACAGAAGGCGATCCCCCCTCTTAGTAAAAGGGACGCTCCTTTCAGCAGGAAGACTCCACATGTCATCTGAAATGATCTCCCCTTGTGGTGGCCCCAGACACCTCATCTTTCCAGCAAATGCCAACTACCAGTCTTCCTCCAGTTTGGCTGCAGCAGGTTGAGCTTCCAGGAAGCTGACTCTGAGATGGAGTTCAGGGTACAAGATATTTATTAAGGAACAGCCTGGGGATCAACTCGGTGGAAGGGAGGGGGAGAAAGCTGGGAGTGCAGAAGGAGGAATCGAACCATGATGCAGGCCCAGTGACAGCCTGGGCACAACCCATGGGCAGCTGTGGAGCTAGAATGACCCATCAGAATTGTCCCAGGTTGGGACAAGATGTCCAGGCCTTTCTGTGCTTGCTTTTGTCACTGATTCACTCCAGAAGAGGTATGACTTTGGGTGAATTAGCGCTCTACAGCTGAGGCCATCCCTGAAGCAGCTGACAGCTGAGAGTCGTCTGCAGGCAGCACTCCTAGCAGTTGGGACAAAAAGCTCTCCACTGGACAAAGGTCTGGACGGTGCATCTCCATGTCTGCCACCCTGCATTCTGTTCAGCCCAAGGACAGAACAGTGACATTACAAGTTCCCTACATTCACAGGGATCACCCTTCAGCTGGTGGAGACATTTTTAAAGGTACAAAAAGCACAATGAGAAATAAAAGTAATTAAGTAAACAAATTCATGAATAAAGAAGCAAATTAAATTTAGTGATACATGCCAAAAAGAAAATAAAACTGAATGTCACCTCTCCCCAAGTGGTGGAGGTAAGAATAGCTTTAGATGGTAGCATCCAAGAAAGACATGTGAGCTAAAATTTTAATAATAACAATTAAAAAAATCATTAAAAACTAAATGAGGATGCTTAATGTATGTCAGGAACTGTTTCAGGTGCTTTACACTATTAATTCATTTAATCTTCATAATAATTCAGTGAAGTAAATGCTATTATTATCTCCTTTTTCCAAATGAGAAAACTGAGGCATTGAGAGGTTAAGTCACTTGCACAGCAGGTATGTGGCAGACTTGAGATTTGAACTCAGGGCAGTAGACTGCTCTCAGCCACTAGGCCAGGGGTTGGCAAACTGCAGCTCGCAAGCCACATGCGGGCAGCTCTTTGGGTACGTACATGTGGCTCTGAAGTAAAATTGAAAATGAAAATGAAAATAAAACTGTCATGGTTACATTTATAAAATTTTTAAAGGATATTATTCACATAATGGTGATTTCATTTGTTTTATGGCTCTCTAATAATTTTTAAATTGTTGTGAGCAACAGGATTGGCTCTTCCATCTCGAAAGTTTGCCGACCCCTGCACTGGGCTATACTGCATGTGAAGAGCCAGCTGTGCAAAGACCTGGGAAACAGGCGTGTTAGTTTGGGGCACGCCCAGTAGCACTATGGAAAGCCACCTTTGCCACACAGTCTTGAGAGAAGGATGACTCTTGGCTCCCAGTGGGCCCTCTCCTCTTGCTCGGGATGAGGAAGTCACATCCTTCTTCAACCTGCCTTGTGGTACAACCAGGGCTGGGCACCCTCACTCAGACAGTCACATGCTCTCTCCTGGTATTTTGATTCTTAAAAGAATAGGATAAAAGGAATG